CAGCAGGACTGCGAAATTAGCTAATGCAATTTGGGAATGACTCCAAGCTAGGACATACTGTTTTCTCAACAGAACTTTGGCACAACTACAACTGGAATATTTTGGTTTCTTCTGTGAACTAAATTAACTGAAAGACAAATTGGCAGATCTATAGAACAGAGTGACTGAGGGAAAAGACTAATTAAACTTCAAAGTTAATAGACATGCCCTCTCAACCACATAGATGGAATATCTAGAAGTGTTTCAACACCATTTAGGAAAAAACCTCCTTTTCAATTTTACATGTTAAGAGATGTTTAATAACCCAGAGAAACTGGATTAGAAAAGAAAAACAGCTTCCTAAAAATGAAGTGCAATACATAGGAAAAAAAGCACTGAAAACTATGAATTCAGACTAGGTGGACAAGTCAGATTTCTGGCAGCAGCCGTGTTGAAGGAAGGATATAAAGGCGCAATTCCCCATTCATGCATTTGTATTGGTAGATGCCTTGGATGTAAATCCACATACACTGTAAGAAGACCACTTGATTAAGCTGGGAGAGGAGAAAGTACCTTAAAAGCAGGTATGAAGCACAGTGCTGACATGACAGATGCATCCAAAATAAGAATATTCTTTGCTTGCAAACATATTATAGAACATTGTCATGCAACATATTATGTAGTAAAAACTGTACTTTTTAAAAAACATTTCTAGTGCAGTGACAGCCTCTGAACTCTACAGAAGAACAGCTGTTTCCAGAAGTAAATTATGGCTCTTAACTGCAAAAAGCTCTTGAGCGTACATCAATTTCTGTAACCCAGTGCATTCTAGAATTTTAAGCTTCTGAAGAAGAGACATCCTGTTATCTTGTAGATTTATCTTTTACCCATAGTTGGTCTTCATATTCCTAGGCTATACTGATCTGGGGAAAGCCTAACATTTGAAAATAAAATTCTTTGTTCTTTTTCATAAAAAAACCTCATCTCAGCATTCAATAAAAGAAAGTATTAGATGGCAATCATTTAAAGTTTAAGTTATATCCCAATTGCACTTAGATTTCTATTAAAAAAGAATTCATATTAGTCAATGTCTGTGTTACAGATGACATTTCAACAACACACAAAACTATACAGCTGCACTGTTTTCAGTTACTTACTCCAATGCAGACAGAAAAATCAAAATGGTATCCTGGAATTGCTCATGTGAAATATATCAACATTTCTACACAAATGAAAGCTACAAAGACTAAAGCACAAGATTAATATTCAGTACAAAACCAGGAATTTTTAAATGAAACTTGAATTAATTCTATGCACTTCAGGATTCTGTTCCAAGTCAGCATTTGATGTGAGTTTACAGTAATTAAAAAAAGACAATAAGCGACAAATGACAGTCTAACAAGGAATGAGTCCCTTTAGAATTTCTACAGTATCTACCTATATGAAAATAGTTAAAAACGGAGGTGGCTTCAATATAAGAAATACCTTCGCTGACTTCTAGCCATTCTAGAACAACTCTCCTTATCTGTAGTAATAATAAACATTTAATATTTAAAGCTTTGTCCTTGGTAACATTTATTCTACCATCATATGCTCATTATGTTACATGTTACATATGCCCACATCCGTTACATCAAGGAAATGTTTTAATAGGTTTTCCATGAGTATTAAGAACAAATCATGTCTCGATTATAACTAAACTGGTCACACTTATGTTGCTCACTTAAATTTAGTTTTTAATTACTTGTACAAATAGTTTAAAATTTTGCAATTAAAAAAAAAATCAGACATCTTAAAACAGTATGCTTAGGTTACATTCTGTCATTGTTACTTAGCTGCCTCATTCATATAGTCCCACCAGTGGATGGTTAATACTAAAAAGATTATCACTTCTTGTACATGTGTATTATTAAATCCTCATCCTAAGTACAAATTTGCAACACAGTAGTAACACTGCAGGTATAGAAGTAATGTTTCCTATCAGGCATATGAAAAGATTAACACTCTACCACAGTTGATGCTGGTGTATTTATACAGAAGGCTTCTCACATACTATTTCAGTCTATGGGAGGTAGATGTTTGTCTATGAACTGTTTTACATCCATCATCTCCTGTTTAAAGATTAAAAAAAAAAAATTGTATTAGTTGAAGTTCCCTACTAATATATACTCAGCTAGACTAAATCATATTTCAGCATTTCAGTCATACTGAGCAGCTGGGCTACAAATACTGAGTAACTAGTTACTTGATAAAACCATACCACTTCGCACACAACAACTCAAGGCTGATAACTCTTTAAAGGCACTATACATTTAGAAGAGGCTAAAATACAAGAAAAAGAGCAAAGACTACTTTTTTCTCTATGAAGTTGACCTGGCAAGCTACATATCAATCATCAAGTGATCTAAACAGCACCAGGCTGAGCATGCACAGGGTTTGAATGTCACTAAGGCTGTAGCTTCGTGTATACTTTAAACTTTTGCAAGTTAGCAGCAGTGTGAAAATCCAGCAGCTCCTCCTCCTAACCATGCAGTCTCACCTTCATGATGCCTCCTTCCTTAAGGAAAAGCAATACAGCAAAGTAGACTGGGAAACCAGGCCACGTTAAAAATACTTTTTCTTTTTGAATTACGTCAAAGTTGTAAGAAGAGCACGTTACTAATATATTTGTATGATAAGTCAATGCTGTTACTGCCTGAACACAACTGTGTAAATGTCCCAAAGAGGTTCCCACAAGATGCAGCAATCCAAATTAACAAAGTTACTGCTGCTGACAAATGGCAGACTTGTTCCTTGCCTCCTCTTCTGTTTCTTGCTCCTATCACTTATTTTGTGTAAGCACTGATGCTTTGGCTCACTACTGCTGCAAAAAAAGCCAGCAGTTTTTGCCATTTTAGCAAGTTCAAATGGTTCACAGAAGTTTCTGATCAGCTCCAGAGCTGGTGCAAGAAGGAAGAGAGGGCCACAAGGTCACGAGCAGAGGGAACTAGTCCACCCCTTTCTGGCGGCAACAAGCCATTACATCAGTTCAGCTGCCTGCTGAGCCAGAACCATAAATGTAAGTTCTGAGGCCGCCTCTTCGGTAGCATCAAGCTTCCCTCCCCATTCCTTTGATGTCTCCATCCATAGAACTAACAAGGTTTTTCTCTCCAAAATACCAAGTTGGATTTATGCTGTGAGAATCTCCCTTCCAATTCAGGGATTTTTTTTTAGTAAGCAAATAAAAGAGTAGGGAAAAAAAGAAGTATTTTATAGACCAACTAGCCTTGTCCCAAAAATACAGTCTTATGAGGAAGTTCCCGCTAGTCATACAAACTTTTGCCCTGGATGCTTTTTCAGCCAGACAATTCAGTTACTCACTAAAATAAGTTAGTGGCATCAAGCACTTGTTATTAAAAAAAAACACAATCCAAAAAAACCAACCCAAAAAAACCCCCTTCCAATACATATTTGTTTTGAGGGAAAAAAGTTAACCATACCCAGCTGAGATATTGAATATTAAGAAAATTACCTCAATACATGAGCTATGCATCATGCCAGAGTAAGTCCTGAAGGTGACATTCGCTGGATTTATCATGCTCTTTAGCTTCTCAACAGTGAGAGAACCAAACATTAAAGGAACCAATGGGTCACAGTCCCCATGGCACTGAAGAACAGCAATCTCCTTGTTGACACCATTGATAGGCCCCTGTTAGGGGTGAAGACAAGAAAGAGACAGTGAGCGGAGGTACGGCTAACATCTTCGAGATCAAATAACCCCATGGCACTATGCCCTGTGGCATGACAAAGAAGTTGAATTCTGAGGGGGAAAAACCACAAATGTACAGTCTGCAAGTTCCTTATGAAGTAATATCTGTGCCTGACAACACACAAAGTTCAAAAACCTGCAAATAAAATTTTGGCACTTATTTCAGAACAGAAGAACATGATTTCTGGCCACGTAAAACCCCAATACTTTGTTTAAATACCTAGTTTCTAATAAGAAAGTGCCTTGCAGATGGCACAAATGGCAAATAGAAAATTCATCTTTAAGGAAAAATTTGTTGTAGCCTTTATGTTTCATAGGAATGTCATTTTCAGCAGAGATAGCTACTGAATATTTTCTCATTTTCCCTACTTGCCAAACTCTAAAACTCCAGGGCCCTATTTTAAAAACTTCCAAGTTACCAAACAACTGTCAATATTTGGTAATAACGATGGCCACTAATTCCTGCACAAGATACCATCTGCAGATGTACTCATTCCCCAAATGCAAATTAGCTTAGGAAAGAAACATAAATACCTGAGGAAAAGAAGCCCGTAGAGGAAGCCAACAGCTGAGGGCTACAACACCTGCTAATTTTTGTTGTGTTGTAAGAGCTGTATACAATGATAAAGCACCTCCCTAAGATAAAGGGATATAAGTATTAGAATGGTAATGGTAACGTTCCTTTTAATGCTCGTTTCAAGATCTCTGTTTTCTCCTTAAAGGTCTTTCTCTATTTCAATCTGTTCTTCCTTAGAGCCAACACTAAAACCAGTATTCCTGTACAACATTTATTTTGCTTTTTTTACCCCCTCCAAGTCCATGTGATCAATTCAGAAGTAAAACAGCAAGTTTATCATAACTAACAGATGGGAAGAAAAACCCCCAAATCAAAACCCAAAACATGAAATAAAGGACTATCACTCTGACAGTGTTACCACTACTTTAATATTTTCATTTACTGCATGCAGAATGAGGAGTTGGTGTATGGACCAATTAATCTGTTAACCTACCAACACAGATCTCTTACAAGTATGAAGGGAAGAATTTTGCAAATAAATCCAGACTATCAAATATCTACCAAATTAAGAGTTAAATTAAAAATACCAGCAAGATTTTCAAGCAAAGCTATATAAGTTACATGCATAAAAACTTTAAACAGACTATTAATTTTAGTACATTTTTTCCACATGCATGTTGATTTTCCAGTGAATAGTAATTATTTGCATAAACCAGAAAGACTTAATTTGCTAAAGCAAAGGAAAAGCGACACCTTAAATTTTAGAAGCATCTAACATCAGCCCTTTTCTATTCAAGTGTCTGGATTTCAAGTGTTCTGGATTAGGAAAGCTAGGTTACTTCCCTAAAAAAGACACAGTTCTTTCCAACCATACCTTACCTGAGAAAAGCCTCCCAGAATAATTCGATTAGAAGGAATTCCATTTTTTACTTCTTGATCTATCAGTGCTTTAACTGCAACATAAATAAAGGCCAGTAGTTAAAACCCACTCCATTCGATATAACATCTAGAAGAGGAAAGAGACCTTCTCCCCAATGTCAACAGAAATCTAGTGAAAGGAAAATCTAGTCTGCTATTCATTAAAAAGTATTAGAAAATCTAGAGCACGATCAGAAATTCCAGTGCCATTGTACCATTTCCAAAGAAAAAAACACGCAAGTAAGTCTCACAAAAGCCCCATTGCCAGGAAGATGGTATCCTCTTCTAACTATCCAGCAGTACAAGTGGATGCTCATACAGCTCTAACCTGCTGTGCCATCCAGAAGCTCTTAAAAAAAGGTACACTAGCTCCCATGTACATTTCATATTTGAGAGTTTGAAATGTTTGTACTGGTGAATTACTCGTAAATTACATATACTTATTACACTCTACTACACTCCTATAGCCCCACCCCCCCACCCCACTACCAAAACCTTGCCACACAAACCAAATACATTCATGAAGTTTTAAAAAAAACAAAAACCAAAAAAAACCCACCACCACACCACACACACACACAAAACAACCACAAAATAAACTATGCACTTAGCTAAACTTTGATCAGCAATAATACAATATAGACGTATTACCTTCCCTAATAATTTTGGTTTTGGAAAATCTGTTTCAGACTGATAATTCATTTTTAAGAATACATGAAAGTACTTTTAAGACATAAAAAGTGTTCCTAAGCATACCATTCTCTGCTGCTTGCTTGATCCCAACTTCATCTTCCTGTGAATCTGGAGAAAGTCCAATGATATCAAACCTTACAAAAATATCAACAAGAGCATTACTCATTAGAGCATCCATTCCACTTCCTTAAAATACAAACAATAAAATTGAGACATTTTCCAGATAATAATGTTAGCTAACATATTATTTTTAGTACCAACCACCCAAAGATTACAATAAATAGGGGACAATCTGTGAATGTGGCTAAAAGGCTACATCTAGTCAACAAAGCTTTTCTGAGTTTTGATATCTTCTGCAATTTACTGCAGATTAAGCAGCTCAGTTTTGATATTTGCTCCAAAAAT